TGATCAGGTTGGAGCTCGCGTCTGCTGCATAACAAAGATAAAAAGATATTTACTTTACTGTAATGTGAGACAGGAAAAAGCAGCAAATCCTCACATTTGAGAAGCTTTAACTACGAGATGTTATTTTATGTTTATTTTCTGTCAGTCCATTTATTTGCTAATTATTTTTAATAATTAATAAATTGTATATCTCTGGGTTTTGACCATTTCAAAGGTCTTTTATCAAATATTTTCTGACATTTTATAGATATATAAAGAAATAATTAACGTATTAATCAGAAACATAACCAGCAGGTTAATAAGCCTTTATTTATTTGCAGTGATCCATTCATTTTATAGATTAATCGATTAAAGGATTAATTCAAAGAAATGATGGGTAATGAACTTAATGAAACTGCCTAACCTTTAAACTGCTTAGAAGAAAGGCTCCAACTAACTATTATTTTCATTATCTGCTGATTATTTTCTTGTTTTCTGGGCTATAAAATGTCTGAAAACCAGAGGTGAAGTCTCCAAATGTCTTGTTTTGTCCAACCTAGTCCAAAACCTCAAAAATATTTAGTTTACCATCAAGTAAGACAAAAAAAGGGTCTTTTTACTTTAAAAATGACTCAAATAATCATTTTCTTTTGATTTACTAATTGATTAATCGCCTAATTGCAATGTTGCACAGAGATTATCATTAAGCACACACAGAGATTTACTCCTGTTTCTCCTTCGTAGGAAGCAGAAAAGAGTGGCGTGAGTCCAGAGGAGGTGTACGCAGCCCTCTGCGTGTGCGGCGGCAGCAACACGAACCCCTGCGATTGGCTGACGTCGGAGCTGCCTCACCTGCTGGATGAAATCTGCGCCATGGCGGCATCCGTCCAGCTAAACTACAAAGCAGGGGATTCTGGGATACAACCCGCGGTGGAGAGAGACGGCGTGGAGCCGGAGCAGAGCGCTCCTAACGTCACGGGCGGAGGGGTGAAGCTGTCCAGAGCCGAGGCCAAGCTGGCGTGGTTGACGGCGGGAGGAGACGCAGACAAAGCAGTGAGACAGCTGCTGAGAGACAGACAGTTCAAGGTAGGATACAAATAGAATTACTCAAACACAGTTCATTCAAAAAGTGGAAGTTATTTGCTGTAATTTCTACATTTAGTATCAGCAGCTTCCACCTTTGCCTGCACTGCTTTTCCTTTCAGAGTTTTGAGATAAATGTTATTTAAAGTTGACTGAAGAATACTTTTAACTCCAAACTTTCAGAAATACTAACATGTTCTTCTACAAAACACAGATCTCTAGCGTGAACGACCAGACTAGAACCTTTCTGCTGTCTATCAACAGCTAAATCACATCACAGTTTACTTGTTTTAAATATACATTTTTAAGTTTTTAAGAGGTTGATTGCAGCCGTTAAAAGATTCTCTACAACTTTGTGTTTGCTGTCCAAAAGCTCAGCAGCACTCTAGTAGTTAACAAATGTCTCACATTAAAACATTTTATTTTACCATGAGTGCAAACAAACAAAGCACATTTCCTCTTATGTTCTCTACAACTTTATTTTCAACAAGCACAGAAATAAATGTCCTCCCTAACAACACTACAAGAATGATGATACAATCTCTTTTATTATTTATATGCTGGTGTTAAGTTATCGGCTCTTCATTCATCCATGGCGCCTCTACGGTGTCTCCTGGCTCTGACCTTGAAGGAAAACTCAGAAAAGGGCCAGTTTGTTGCGTGTTGGGAGTGACATGTAGGAGTGTTGCACGGCCTTGACATGAAACAGAACAGTAAATCTCACAGGCTTATACAGACTTACGCAGGTTCACTCCTTAAAACAACAAAATCTGATTCAGACGTGAGTCTTTCTGTTATCTTCCGTTCAGGCAGTGGAAAGGCAGCATTCCTGAGACCGACACTCAAAGTAGTGGCAGCGTATTAATCAAACAAACGTTTATTTACTGCAAACATTTAGCCGTAATGTCCGTCCCTGCTGTGTGTGCAGATGAAGATGCTGCAGTCTCTGGGCTTCAGAGACGCGTCGCAGTGTGAGGAGGCCCTTCGGCTGAGCGGAGGCGAGGTGAAGGGGGCTTTGTCTCTGCTTCAGCGACCTCTCCTGGAGCCCTTCCACCAGCGTATCTGGACCGACCAGCCAGAGCCGCCGATTGATCCGAAGAACCCAGACAAACAGGTTAGGCTGCACAGCCCGAGGGCTTTTAGTGTGCTCACCTGGTGCATGTGCTGACGTGAGAGTAGCATGTTTTCATGTAATTATAATGCCTGTGTGTATTTGAGGTGTGGTGTGGTTTGTTTTTGTTCCCCACCTTCTATTAATAGTCCTTTTGCAATCACATTAAATCCTTGTTGTTGTTGTTGTTGTTCGCAGAGGATGTGCAGGCGTCTGCTGGCGCTGTACGACCTGCCCAGCTGGGGGCGCTGCGAGCTCGTCCTCTCCTTGCTTCAGGAGCCAGACGTCACCTACTCTCTGGAGGACGTAGTGCAAGCTGTGAAAGAGTCGCACGACAAAGATTTCATCAGGCGTCTGCTCAACAACGAGTGCCCCATCTGTCTGTCCATCTTCCCCCGCAGCAAGGTGGGTGAGGGGTGAGGGCGGTGACGACACAGTTTATGTCTAAGCATCTTACACGTAAGGCGTAATGCCAGACGAGGTGTCCGTTATCAGGACGACGTGGCCGATTTGTGGTCAGTTGATTAGCTCTGAAACTGACCCTCATCATTTCCTCTCACTGCTAGTTTCAGATTTATTTCTCCCCTCTCCGTGTTTCAGATGCAGTCTCTGACTTCCTGTCAGTGCTCCGTGTGTCACGACTGCTTCGGGCAGCACTTCACCATCGCCATCAGAGACAAACACATCCGAGACATGGTGTGTCCCGTCTGCAGCGGGCCGGACATCAACGACCCCGAACAACTGGACAGCTACTTCTCCACACTGGACATACAGGTACACACAGAGAGAGTTTATAACACAAGGCCTAAAACTGTCCCACTTAACATTTAGATTTAAATGGGGATCAATTATGATTTCTTTCACATATAAAGGCCAATTTCCATCTTTCCATTTAAAGTGTTTTTTTTAAACTAGTAGAACTACTTAAAGTTACAGCAAGCATATTGATAGGATAATGTCAGCATATACAACAAACATTAACTAATATTAGCTTCCCTAAAGCTACTGGTCATACCAGACCAACTGAGAGTGTTGAATTAGTTTTATTTCTTATGAATTTAAGTTGTAGCATTAAATTGTTTTATTTCTGCATTCAAACATTACATGGTTTTACTTTAAAGTTAAGAAATAAACACATAAATTGTGTAAAAGGGAAACGAAGGAGGGTTGAAGACGTGTTGCTGCTGCTGCTGTACTTATCCATGCAAAGAATCTTACTTTGATTTGCATTTAGCTCGCAGCAAAGGCATCAAATGGGAACTTATGTAACCTCATTAGTTGACTTCAGGCAGAGATCTTAATCTCAGTGAGACTCCCTGATTAAATAAATAAATCAAATCTGCCCTAAAGACAGGATATCGATTTATAACTGGTGTCTTATCTACGTACTGACACACATATGTCTCAGAGCATCTCTCATGTAACTCGCACACAGAGAGAAAGTTAAGCTTTTAAATTAAAGTACAAGGAACTAGTGTCAAAACACATACGACACGAACTGCAACAGGTTAATAGATCCAGATAATAATGTGCTGAATTGTTCTCCGGTCGTGTTTTGTTTTTACAGCTGCGTGACTGCCTGGAGACGGATGTGTACAATCTGTATCATAAAAAGTTGACTGAGCACGCTCTGATGAAAGATCCAAAGTTCCTGTGGTGTTATCATGTGAGTTCTTCATTCCACTTGTTGTGCCCTTATCCCCTCACGCGATCTGATTTCCTCCTCCACCCCTAGTTTGCATTCCCTGCTTTTCATACTTCCCTATAATTAGTTTAGCTTATTCTTAGCTTTCTTTGTGTGTGTTCAGTGGGTTTATTTATGCTGCGTTAAACACAGAGGAGGACGTGATGGATGCTCACAGGATTTCTGGTTAGTTTTGGAGATTGTTCAGTTTGGATTGACACTCAATATTGGCAGGGAGATGATATTTCTTTTTCAGCGGTGACCCGGTCAAATTCATACACACAAACTTAATAATCAAGCATAATGGCTCCACACAGAACCACAGAAATAAAAACTGAATGTAGCTTTTGTGTAAAACTGGTTAAAGAGACGAGGGACGTAGTAAAATAGACTCCTTTTTCCAGATTAGTTAGGCCTCTTGATGGATCTATGATTGGATGTATTATTATACATTATATGTATATATACACGGGCAATCTGCCCAGAATGGCTTTGTACATTAATATATAACAGTGTTGCATCCTTTAGCCTCAGTTAGAAATCTATCTCGGAGCAGCTTGTGATTAAGTGGGTCAAGTAAGAGCAAACTAGTAGGGCAAGTAAACCCTCAATTATGTGAGGATGGAGACAAAGATGACTTTATCCTGTACAAAGGACACTCTTGTTTTTAAAGATTTGAGGTCCTTTTTTAATCATTTTTCCTTCCTTTTTGTACTGTTTTATCTTTAAATACCTACTATTGTCATCTTTTGTTTGTAATTACCCTTTTACTTATAAAAAAAGAGAACAAACCAAAACAAAATCACCACCGTAAGAACATCAAACCTTTTTAAAATATGAGGAGAAAAAATCCAGGGAGGAAATGATCAAAAGATAAAAAACAAAGCATACATAAACGATGGGAGACTAAAAAACAACACTAGAAATGATGAAAGAAATAATGAGCGTGTCTTCCTCAGTGCACCTCCGGGTTCATCAATGAAGGAGACCAGCTGAAGGTCACCTGCCTGTCTTGCCGCAAGAGTTTCTGCGCTCAGTGCAAGAAACCTGTGAGTATGAGCAGCGTCTGTTTCCCATCTGCCCAAACTTATCTTACTTTATGAGGAGAAGCCTCACACAGCCTTCAAAACTTCTGCAGCTCTTCAGTGAAGTAACTCACTTATCGTTCACTCCCTCTCTCCGGCCTCAGTGGGAACCTCAGCACCAGGATCTGTCCTGTGAGCAGTTCCAGCAGTGGAAGAGGGAGAACGATCCGGAGTACCAGAGGCAGGGCCTGGCCGGCTACCTGAGAGACAACGGCATCAGTGAGGACTTTACCTACAACCACCAGTCTTATTTCAGCTTCAGACCACAGTGTTTATTTATATCCTCCATTATACTTACTGCACAAAAGGCACACAGCTGTTTCCATCCTTCATTTAAAGGCTACAGTAGGCAGGGCAGTTAAAGATTAACCACGATGTGTCGTCCCTCTTGCAGCCTGCCCTCACTGCAGGTACCAGTACGCTCTGGCGAAAGGCGGCTGCATGCACTTCAGCTGCTCCCAGTGCAGGTACCAGTTCTGCAGCGGCTGCAACAACCCCTACCACAAGGTGAGGTCGAGCTACGGCATCAAGAGAAAGATCACAAAAAGTTCTCACACACACACACACACATCTGAATGACCAGAATACTTCCACTTGCTTCATGTGACACGATTTCTAGAGACACTTTTTTGTACGTTTCCGACGTTCTAACTAGGGTCGATCGATCCGATCTCAGAGTATCGGGGCTGATCAACGCTTTTAACTCACAAAGCCTTAATGCACCGCAACCTCCAACTCTGTTATTTATCTGTCGGTATCAGATACTTAAATAACTCGGATCAGATCGGGACTTTGATGCTTCTAACATCTGGAAAGTTCACAGAGTTCAATCTCAGATTTACATATTGCATTTGGATAATTGTTTTGGTGCAGCAGTGAGCGAACAGTGGAGGTTGTTTCATCTGTTCTGTTTGATTTAAAGACCGTCTGAAGATGCAAACACACAACAGAGACAGTCATTTCTTAATTATACGAGAAATGTAGCCTCTCCTTCATCCTGTGTTCGTTCTGTATTGGTTCCCTTCTCTCTGGCAGATGGGATGTAAAGTGGCCCAGTGCAATTTCCCCGGTCTACATGCTCATCACCCCCGCGACTGTCTCTTCTATCTCCGGGACTGGGAGCTGCCCAGTCTACAGGACCTGCTGCAGGTACGGACGCGGTTTGTGTTTACACACTAGGAGGGAGAGAAACTACATTTTAAAGTCTGGATTATTGATCCCATTGTGATCATCAAATACCTTTTTGAAGAGATTTTCACACATTGTTCTGCGATTAAAAAAAAACGTCGCCACCTGTGGATTTTTAAGCTTTTACGTGTCTTTAAGAAGGCGGTCGCTAACAAGTGGCTTAGTGAGACTACAGAGATTGACGTACTCATTAATCCGCCTTTACAGCCTCTTTGTGTTTACCCTCGCGCTCTTGCACGATTCTAACTCTTGACTTTAACTTCCTGGAAAACAATAGTTTAGAGGTTATGTAATGGCAGACATATGTTAAAGTTTCCATTTCACTTTAACTCACTGTTTCAACTTGTTTCCTTTTAGACTTCAGCTCCTGTTTGTTTAAATAAATGTACAAAAGTTTCTGAATTGTCCTTTTTCTCCCCTCAGAGGAGCGGTGTGGAGTTCAACACCGATCCTTCTACTGGAACCCAAACTGGTAAATATTACTAAAAGAAAAAACATTCTTGAAATGTCCTGGAAAAGTTCCTCCTTGTGTTTTATCATCTGTTTTTGATTCAGTAAAAACCCAGAATACATGAGGTCAGTCGCTGACTCTGTTCCACCCTCTGTGACACAGACGCCTGTTGTGTGATGGAGCAGAAAGATGAAGCAGGTCAGCAGATTGATTCTCCGTGTGGCATCCAAACACAGCCGGGACAAGCAGGACTCTGCGAGTGAGTGTCTGACCAACTGAAAGCTGGTTTAAATATCTATTGTTTACTTTTTTTTTTAAAATCAGATCAAATTTGTTTAGTAGGTTTCATACCGGCAGAAAACGGAAATAACTCACCTCTCTCTTGGGGAGCATACACACTTCCTGTTGGCTCGCAGTGTCTCTTGTGGGGGAGGGTCTGCTGTTGATCCTGTCCCAAAAAAACAAGCACAATCTTTCCATGTTAGCTCATTGTAGTCTTCACTTAGTTTAGGGTCATGGTTAGAGTCATTTGGTGAGAGTCTTCCAGAATTAAACAGGTTGCATTACTGTGCTTTTGTTACAGTCATTCAAGGTCACGCTACAGTTTAAAAAAACTAACGTAATCTACTGAACTGTGGACAAAATGTGCTTTAAATCCAGTTTGTAATTCAAATCTCTCAGCTTAAAGCGGCTATAATCAATACGTTTATAATAACTCTCATTCGCACAGAGCATTATGAGCTGAATCTGCAGATACGAGGATTTATAGTGAGTTTCAGCTCGTAGTTTTCGGACTATAAGCAGTAAAAGAAAAAACACTGCAAACTACCTGTCAGACACTGAATATACAGTTTCATTTAAACACAGGTGAACTGGGTTAGTAAACAGTAAAAAGCAGCATTTATTGCTTGTCTTGGGCTGAGAGACAACTGTCTGTCAGTGCCTGTCGTCTCACATAGCCAGACGAGGGCTGTTTCCTCTTCCCCTTCGAATCAGGAGAAGCTCACCTCACTGTCAGTACACAGTACTAAGAACAAAACTGCTGTTGCACATTGACAAGACCCCCACTTCTTCTCTAACAAAAAGGTGTTTGTTCCTGCAGGAAGCACTACAAGGAGTACCTGGTGAGTCTGATAAACGCCCACTCTCTGGACCCGGCTCTGCTCTACGACGCCCATGAGGTGATTCGGGCCTGTGAGAGATACCAGGTGGACACGCAGAGAGGAGAGAACGAGGACGACAACGCTTACGGCGCTCGAATGCTGAAGGTGAGATACAAACCTTGATATCGTTTCACGCACGCAGCTGCCACTCGAACACATTATATCTCAGAGTAACAAACTGTTCTGTGTAGTTAGATTGTTGTTGATTCTTGTTGAATAAGCTTGACGTGTGTTTTGTTGTCGCCCTCACAGAAACTGATGGAGGTTCCTCTCGGAGAAAAAGTTCCTCGAAACAAATAAATAAAAAAAGGTTCCTCAGCAGAACATCACCAGCCTCCCGAAATCATCCCAAACACTGACGGAGACTTTCGTTGAAGTCGGACGTTCATCGAGCTCTTCTATTAGCAGCTGTTTACTCTCTGTTTGTTTGTTTGTTTGTATTTGTGTTGTTTTCTTTCCTCGTTGGTGATCACGATGATCAATCTGAACAGGTCGAGCTGCTTCTCCGTGATTTTAATCTCAATTTTGCAAAACGTTTAAAAAAAAAAAAAAAGGAATTATAGTATAGTGTCGTTGTTGTTGTTTTTATCTCAGAATATTGTAGCAATACTACAGATTACACAAACGTATACAGAGACAGATTAAACATTCACTGTCTGTCAGAGGTTTTTCTTTATATGTGATGGATGAATCAGACTCGATAAATAAAGATGATTATTTTGAAAATGTGGGATTATTTGATGTATGTAAAGCAAAAATGGCGTCATACTTTGGTTAAATACATTTTATACTGCATGGAGCAACTATTTAAGTACATTAACAAGTACTTTTTAAAAGTATTTTCACTTCCTGTTACTTTATATTTCTAATATCATTTATTGTACATTACATACAAAATGTTTTTAACTAGTTCCTCCCTGAAATACTGGAGCGTTCATGAATTAATTCTTCATTAGAAGTTGTTTTATTTGATCTACCCTAACCTTAAAAATCTACCCTGAATACACAGGAACAAAGTTAACATCCTAAAAAAATAACACTAAATATATTATTGTTTTACTTCACAGCCACTTGCATTAAAGCATTTAAGGACTTTAATTAATCAAAAACACAGACTGAATTTAATAGTTTGGATGAATTACTTTGTATTTTCATAATAATAACCCTGAAATAAGGCACACAATGCATTTAAACCCCTTAAATATGAGAGATTATAAGAATAAACCTATCAAAACATTGATTTTATTGTATTTACCTAATATTTAACCAGAAAGGATTAAACATATTTAATGTCCCGCAGCACTGACACCAAGTTACAGCCCAATAACATGAGATATAACACAAAATATGTCACAAGATTAAAATGTAATACTATAAAATAATGAGATGATATTAACCCTGTATGTATGTATTGTTATGTAATAATTATGTAAGAGTCATTCTGCCAATCGGTGCCTTTTCACATGCTTAAATATATATGGAAATTCAGTATAATACATTATATTATTAAACAAATAATAATTAGAATCCTAATTTTGAAATGTTTTGTTAAATAAAATCATTTTCCCATCAGAAATTTATGTTAGTTACAATACACATGTTAGTCATGTCACCAGGTTTTCACATAAGGACATTAAGAGATAAAATAATGTGTTTTCAGCCCTTTAAATCAGTGGGTATTTTTTATATTTATTTCCTACTTTCATTGTCTCTATTTCGGTCTTTATTTCTATTTTTCTATGTTTATTGCTATGAACCAATTTACCAAGGCAAATTCCTTGTATGGGAAAGACCTTCTTGAGTTTAATTAGTGCAAGAAAATTTCAAAATATACATAGAGGAGGCCTAAATCTCTGCTTTTGGTTCACTACTGTGAAGAGAAGTAAATGTAAATTGTCTAATAGCACAATGTCTCAACATCAGGAACAAGAAAACAGTGAGTTTGTCCACAAAAAGAAGCCTATTAAGTCTGTATTATTGTTAAAAGATAAATAAACACATAATACAGACAGAATTGTATTAAAAAATCCTTAAACAATCATGAAAACTCATCTCTGATCACACAAACTTAACCCACTAACCCTAACCCAATGCAGTTCTAATTTACTTTTTTATATTTATTGTCTCTATTTCTATTTTTATTTATTTTATTTATGCACCTTGTATGGGAAAGGCCTTCTTGAGTGTAAAAAATACACTCAGGAGGCTTATATCTCTTTTGGTTCACTTATGTGAAGAGAAGTGAATGTTGATTTTCTAATAGAACAATGATGAAACATCAGGGAAAAGAAAAAGTTAAAAGAAGGCTATTAAGTCTGTATGGTTGCTAAAAAAACAAACACAAAAAAACACATAATACAGGCAGAGAATTGTATAACAAGAGGGGAAAATCACTAACTTCCTGCACTTTGGAGTTCACTATTTGGAATAATTGTACAGTTTTTAATATAATATGAAAACACATCACTTATTCAGTTTAATAAAAGACAGAAAAGTGGTTAATTCAAGTAAAAAGTGTTATATATATATATATATATATATATATTTGTGTGTGTCCGTTGGCGCCCCCTGGCGGCCGCAGCACGGAGCGTTTCTCTAAAATCACGTGACTTCTGGTAAAAGGAGCGTCTGCTGAAGAAAGAGAGACACAGCAGAGTCCGGACCGCAGAGCCCGGAGAGCAGACTGTGAACCTGAACCCTGACAGTCCGCAAGACACCGCGGAGGAAACGCAACCGAGGTAAACGAAACTTAAAGCTACTTCCCTTATTGAACAGAGCTCAGTGCCTGTAATCCATAAAACCTATAAATATCAGCAGAAACAGGTGAGAGCTCATGGCGCTTTTAGTTGTTCCTGAACCAGACTGCGTTTAAAAAAGAGTCGATTTAAGAAACGGAAGGGGTTTTTTCATACGTGTGTGTGTTTGTGTGTTTGTGTGAGTGTGTGTGCGTGCGATTGAGAGTGTGTGTGTGTTTTCGGGTGAAGTTAATAAAGCAATATTTGTATTAAAGCGTTATATTATTGGTTGGTTTTTAAATGGTTTATAGTGGAAGAAGGGTTTATTAAAGTGGAAGGTTGTTGTTGACATTCATCTGATGGTGGTTTGTTTATTTGTTTGTGACTCTCTGTTTTTGTTGTTGTTTTTTTTATAGTTTTTAAATCATGGCAGGAGGGAAAATGCGCTCCACTCGCAGACTGCGCTCCTGGATCGTCGAACAGGTGTGTGTGTGTGTGTTTAAAAGTGTGTGTGTGAGGGAGAGAGGGTGAGGGAGAGAGGGTGAGGGTGAGGGAGAGAGGGTGAGGGAGGGGGGAGACGGAAAGGGAAACCGTGCATGTTTACAGGACTACAGATTACATCTGCAGGCTGCAGGAGGTGCTTAAAAACATCATATTGGGGATTATTTGATTCACAATTAGTGGGAATTAACATTGTCGCATCATCATTATCATTTTGGCAGAAATAAAACCTTTTAAAAGTGACATTTTGTACAAAACATCTAACTTATTTTGTGTCTGTAGGACAAGATTTGTAGGCCGGGATGCCTCTGCAGCACTGGTGCTTCACTATAATGTGTTTTTGTCTCATATTTTACATTTATTACAACTAAATTACAGCTTTATAATAAATAAAAACATTATACAAACAGAGAATTGGATAAAAAGCTCCTTAAAATGTCAGGAAAACTGCAAAAAAATCAATATTCTTAGGAAATAATCTGCTTAAAAATGCTTGTTTTACACAAATTTATGCAGTTTTTATTTACTTTATGTACATATTTATATATTATTCATATTGAAAACCTATTTGTGCCGTGTGGATCCTGTGTAAATTTAGTCTGTTATTAAGGTTTGATTCATGCATTAAGGCTAATTCATCATTAATTCACTTTTAATGAAGATTATTGATAATTGACTCACCATTATTCCCTTAAAAAAAGTGATATTTCTATTAACTGTGCAGCTCTAAACTTTAAGTCTATAAATGTGTAACAGCTTATAGACTCCAGACGTCTGCTTGGAGCAAAAATGTGCATTTAAAATGTTTAAAAAGACTCTTTATACCTCATTTAATAATGACAGAATCTATAAAATAAGCAAATGTTGGTAATTTCTTCACTTTTTAAAATTATAGCATCATTTAGGAGAATATTATAATGATTAAATATACATTTTAATGTAGATTAAATGTGTTTTTGTCTCATATTTTACATTTATTACAACTAAATTACAGCTTAATAATAAATAAAAACATAATACAGACATAGAATTTGATAAAAAAAAGCTCCTTAAAATGTCAAAAATCAATATTCTTAGGAAATCATCTGCTTAAAATTGCTTGTATTTACACAAATCTATTCGTTTTGTTCGTGTATATATTTATATATTATTCATTTTGAAAAAATGTATAGCATCATTTAGGAGAATATAATAATGATCAAATATACATTTTAATGTAGATTAAATGTGTTTTTTCCTCTAAAAAACGTGCAGGAGATGCTGGTTTTGTCTGCAGGTGTTCCTTAAATTAAACAGTCGGTTGTGTTTTCGGGCTGTTTGCAGGTCAGCAGTGGGAAATATCCGGGGCTGGTGTGGGACGACGAGGCCAAAACCATGTTCCGCATCCCGTGGAAACACGCCGGGAAACAGGACTTCCGCAAGGACGAGGACGCCGCAATTTTCAAGGTCAAGATGCGTGTCTTGGCTCTAAACTAGAGGCGGGGGGCGCGGGGGGGGTTGAGCTCTTCTGACTAACCTTCTCTCTGACCTCCGCAGGCGTGGGCAGAGTTCAAAGGCAAGCTGACGGATGGGAGTCAGGACAACCCGGCGTCCTGGAAGACCCGCCTGCGCTGCGCCCTCAACAAGAGTCCAGAGTTCATGGAGGTGATGGAGCGAGCCCAGCTGGACATCTCGGAGCCCTACAAGGTCTACCGCCTGGTCCCCATCAACGAGCAAGGTGAGAGACTCTAGAGACGTCCTACAGGGAGGGAAATATAGTAGTTCAGAGCAAAAGTTCTGCAGTAAAAACTCCAAAAACAAAGTTAGAAGGGACCTTAAATATTGTGCAGCGTTCAAGTGCTGACAGAAATGTGGGACTTCCTAACGATGGAACTGTATGTATTATCTGATCTGAACGTAATTTATGAAGCAAAAATCCCAAAAGTTCAGCCTCTCGAATGTGAGGATTTGCTACTTTTCTGTGTTAAATATCTTGTTTTAAATTGGATATTTGTGGTTTTTATGAATGAAAAAGGACGACTTACCTATCAGTTGCTATCAGCTGCATGTCTTCCAGTTTAAATAATCCAGACACCTGATGAAGTATAAAGACACATTCACTGGTTTCTGTCACTAAATCAATGAATTCAATGTTTGTTTTTATAGATTATAAAGTAGATAAAGTAAACAAAACAACCTGCAGAATACAAACCAAACAATTGATGGATTAACGGAGGAAATGAACCAACTACAGCAGTAAAATCCTGCTTTTATCCATCTAATTATATCATATAGTACAACAATCACAGTGGACATTTTACTTGTATTTTTATTTTAGATGAACAATAACTAAGACTGTAGTCTGAGTCAACCAATGAGGGGCGAATTGTTCAAGAAACACGAGTTATTGGGCTGAAATAACTCACTTTGGGATTAAATAATCCAGCGTACTTTTCCCACTTTAATATAGTTACATATGACCATTGTCCATATTTAATCACACGTTTCCATTCAGTTAATCCAGACTCCAACATGCTGCCACACACACACTCACATACCTGATTGTCTATCACCTGGAGCTTCACTTCCTCCAGCAATGCGCCACCTAGTGTTTAATGGCAGAACTGCAGGTGTAATAATAATAATAATAATAATAATAATAAGATCTAAGAGGGGAAATATTCACTTTTATATGTTTTCTGTTTGGATTTTACACCGAAACAAATCCTCAACCAAAGGGTGGATTCTAGACACGAACACTGAGAAAATAAAGAATATTATTGATCTGGTTCACAGTGACTCCACTGGTCTTTGCAGGCTTGATTACGCTGTACTTTGTAGATGGACTCTCCGCCCTGTTATCATCATGTTACCATCAGCACAAACCACAGATTATAAAAGTTACACAACTTGACTTTACAAACCTCTCCCACTTGTGTTGCAATGAACTTTCCTTCCCCATCACTCCTCCTTCTATTTTTGTATGTTTTTAAGGAAAACTCTTGACGCGTAACCTTTACCACACACCCTCTCTCACTCCTCTCTTCTCCTTTTTCACACAGAATTACTACAATCTCTTGTTTTAGCTCCTCTCTGTTATGTAACACAGGCGTGATTCTGACTCGTGGTTCCCTAAATGTTTTGCTCGTTTTAAGTCATAATGTCTGTACTATACGGCGTCTGCAGGCTACCTGATATCAGCTGAAAGGGATTTACAAGCTGTGTTATTTGCTCTCTGGTTCCATTGTTTTGCTAATGTCCATCTGCTTTTGAGTCTGAACCATCACAATTAAATGTATTGAGTCAGTTTCTCCACGTTCAACGTGTTGCTAGTCATTACTGGACATCACCACTCTTCTGCTGAGGCTTTTAAACGCTGTGTTATTGTGCGTCCAGGACTTATATAAAAGGCACCTTTGCATTGCCTTTGTGTTTAAAGCTGCTGTACAAATAACCAAGCCTTATTGTACAAAAGGCCAGAGTACAAGTCTGACGTTAATTTGGTGCATTTTCTTACTTATTTATAAATTATTCTGGTTTAATCCAATTAAATAAGTAAAAAACAGCTATTTTTGCTTGTTTTTGTTGTTGTTTTTTGGACTGTTATTGGATGGAGTCACACTATCTTAACAAAAGTGGGGAGATGATTCATTAAAACCACCAGACGAACGGCAAAAACAGGTCGAATGACTGAATGTTTCTGAGTCAGTGGGGGCAGGGCGCGACTTTCTTTGTGTTCTGAACCGTAAATATTGGTTATTTACGACGACAGATCTCCATCTGTTTTCAGGAATGGTGGTTCCCGAAAAGAAATGCAGAGTGAAAGCCAAGAGGCCGAAGAGGAGGAGGAGCAGCAGCAGTGACTCGGAGAGCGACGACGGTGTCGTGGGAAAGCAGATAAAGAAAGAGGAGGTCACGTCGCAGCTGGTGAGTGGATGTTAGAGGGATTTCTTACATTTCTCTCTAAATCTTGATGCTTGAGCTGCTGTTCAGACGTCTCGAGGAAATAAAAAGCCTCTTTGTGTGATTCTCAGTCTGTGGAAGAGACTCACGTCACCGTCCTGACAGAGGAACCGGCTCAGCACAGCGACGCCATCCAGAGAGACGGTGAGTTTTACTGCGTTTAGGATGTGATAATAAGAGTCCGATATGTTCCTGAACTTCCTGATATCTGCATGGGATCAATTAAAAGGGATCTTTTAGTTAAATTAAAACAAGCTTTTTCTCGTATAGTTTGTATTGTTTTTGTGTTTATGTGGACTAATAATGATCCAATTAAAGAAGTAGCTTTACATCTGAGGAAGAAAGGTTTTATTAGCATCAATCAGGATTAAAGAAACCAGATTTCAGCAGCTATGTTTCTCAGCCGGTCTCTGAGTCACGAATACAGAAATCCAACTACTGACCTGCTGCCTGTAAGAAGGTTACTACAGTGTGATATCATGTCAGTGATAACAAACAAAGTATCTGCCAACAAAGCAAACTTTAGGTTCAAGGTCATAAAACTCTGCTAACAGTTGATTCAACCCCTGAAACAAGCAGCACTTTTTATTCTCTCTCTCTTTCTTTCTCTGCAGTGGTTGATGAGATCAGGTTGGACGTGCGGATCGAGGAGAGCGTCGCCGCTCCAGCGGGAGGTAATAAAAGCTGAAAAATACGTACAGCTGAGCAGGTCGTTGTTGATGTACAACTGTACCTAATTTATTAGTTTTTACCCAGTTTAAGGATTAAGAAATTCTCCAACAATCTGTCTGTTTTTAGGACTGTTGAATGCTGTAGTTTAAAGCCAAGTGGCAACTTTATGTGGCTTAAGAGAAGAGAATAGTATTAAATTTGATTAAATGTAGCTTTATTTTGAAAGTCTGCTCTGTTCCTGTCTCCCCAGGCCAGGACTCCTTCAGTGTGGTGGTTCATTATTTAGGACAGGAGGTTCTCAAGCGTCAGATCCAGGGCACTGATGTCAGGATAACGTACCTGCCTTCCTCTCTCGCCCCCCCGACTTCGGCCGCCCTGAAGGCCCGGTTTCCCCGCATCCCGCTGCCGGAGCCGCCCTCCACGCTGCCGGTGGGCCAGGAGCGGCAGGCCCTCGCCACTCTGCTGCCCTTCATGGAGAAAGGGGTGGTGCTGACCTCCACGCCGCAGGGAGTCTACGGCAAGCGGTTCTGCCAGGGGCGGGTCTTCTGGACGGGGCCGCACACGACCACGCCGGGGCTGCACAAGATGGAGAGGAACACGGAGCCCGTGATGCTCTTCAGTAAAGACGCCTTCAAACAGCGTGAGTGGCTTTAATTCATCATTATATTGATTATTTCAACCCAAAATCAGGTTATTTGATTGATTGACTTTTGGTTAAGTGTTGATTGGTCGACTTTAAGTTTGCTGTTTGAATTAGATTTGAAAAAAATAGACTTATTTGATGAAAACAGAACAATATTAATGCATATTTCTAACACAACTGAGTCGATTAGTTGAATCTGTCAGTTGATTGACGGAAAATCTTAATTTTTAAAGCAAAAATGTCAAACTTCTGCTTCTGTATTGTGGTGGATCTTTCCGTTTTAATCACATATGATCAGAAACTGATTATATTTTAGGGTTTTGAACGGTTTATAGGGAAAACAAGCAATTTGGTGACCCCACCTTGGACTTTTAGAACTTATAATGTGCATTTTTTATTGTTTTCTAGCATTAAATAGATGAAAAAATTAAGAAATTAATCAATTAAATTCAGTTGTAACTGGAAAATCTTCTATCAAAATCTAAAGTTTTCTTCATTTTCCAGCTGTTTCAGCTCCTAAGCACATGAACCAATAAATAATAATAAATAATTATACATTTATCTCACTTTTCTTTCGCTCACAATCAGAACTGGATCATTTCCGTTCAAATGGCGGCGCGCCTCCTCAGTGCGGCGTCACTCTGTGTTTCGGGGAAGAACTGAGTAACACCGAAGACCCGTCTGGAAAACTCATTATAGTTCAGGTAAAGGTAATTCACGACTCATTTTTATATATATATATATATAACCATTTATTTATGTACTCATGAAGCTTTTGTTCTCTGATCGGCTTTCAACACTCAATATTTATAGCATTTTATATTGTCTGATTATGACTTTGGCACCAAAATACCATCAGAAAAGACCAAAGCGCATTAGTTGGATTAAAGAACTGTCCATAACTTTACCTCTGAAAAAGATTACTCACATTATTAAAGGTTAAAAAATCTGTCCATGATACAATATATTGATTTAAGTTGATTTTAGGATACACACAGTAGGCCTATATCTCAAAATTTCATTAATTTCTGCAAAGAAAACTAAATAAACTATTATTTCTAAGGTTTCAAGTATTATTTAAGGTAGAAATGTTGAAGACCTGAACACAAAACACAGAATTTGTCCAAAAAAAAAGACATCAAAAACTATTTTTTATTGTAATATTTATAGGAAATAATCTAAAACCAATACTCAGAATTCATCCAGAGTACTTCCCCTAGTTACTGCGTCCTGTTTGGGTTCATCGTAGTTTATTTATTATAATATCTACTCCTTTAAATACATCCAACAACATTTCAAATGGAGAGGAGAAACTTTAAATAATCTCAAATGTGGGATTAAAAGTGACACCTCGACACAAACCACTCCGAGTGAAGGATTAAAATGACCTATTCTCGTCCTGTCACTCCTCTGCAGATCACTTTACCGTGGGCGGAAGAGCAGGTCCAGACCGCCCAGTCCTTCATCGAGTCCATCACCATCCTCCAGTCTCTGGCCAGTCAGTCTCCGCTGGGAGAAATAACTCTAAACCTGGTCAGCGTGGACTCTCTGTCGTCTGAGACCATCACCTGTGGCCCCTTCTGAGCACCTTGCCCACTGTGAAAGGGCTTCAAATTCCAAAATAAGAGACCTTTCTAACTTTGAAACCCATTCTTGTGATACAAAAGAATACAGTGAGGAACAACTTCATTCTAAATGCATCATCTAAAGTGAGTCTTAAAAAGATTAATTACAGAGTCTCAGAGATAAACAGATTATATAGCGGATAGCCAAATAAAAGCCACTAGTTTGTGTGGTAATTGTATTTTCAGCCCCAACAGATCTTTCTAGCACTTCTAGCACATTTCACTTTCTTTCTTTTTTTGTTGCCCTGAAACGAATACTGGAGTTTCTGGGAGGGACTTTGGCCCCTCGTGTCCTCGTAGACATTAGTCGGTGTACTGGAAGCACTACATGTAACACTGAGAAGTCGTCTTCAGAGCTGCAACCATTAAGTTGACTGGCAGAGTCAAATTGTTTTTACTCGTCATATGTGACGCTAATATAACAGATAACAAAATAAATGTTAGTTGCAGCTCTAGTCTTTCTTCGCTGGGTTTTCTGGAAATGTGATAAGAGTAATAATCCTCTACGTGTAGTTCCCAACCTGTGGAACGGTCACAGGTTACATCCGAGTGTGCCGAGATTAGATTTATTAGACAGGAAAGCAGAGTTATCGAATCTTTTGCTTTTCTTTTTGTGAATTACTGGATGATTCTGAATGGGTTTAGGCAGAAAATGTGTAACATATGCAGCCAGTAACGGGCCTCAAAGGTGCTTTTTATTTTAATGGGGTCACAAACTAAACAGGTTGGAATCCACTGCTCTCTGCAACTGTACAGCGCTGTACTTGTCGTCCTTGAAGCTGCAAATAATAGTCCAGTAGAGTAGTGAGCAAAGATGTATCTTTTTTTTAATGTGCTGCCTGTTAATCTACTCAAATCCAACTTTAGATTAGTCATTTCTTTTCACGTTAGTCATTTGTGGTTAAACACAGACATTGATACATGTACAGATGTGTGTTGATAGTCGTCTGGTGATGATAATGAGACTTGAAGCAGTGCTCAGTCAGAATCATTAAAGGAAATCTTTCTATACTCCACTGTTATGTGAGAAAACTAATCTTATTTACAAGACTGTTAGTTTAGATTAGTGTTTTAGAGAGTTACGCCAAATTCTGACACTGCGGTAGACAATTTTAAAAGTTTGTATGTGTGAGGGGCAAACTGAAGTACACAACATTTCAATACAAAAGTCTTGTAGTATCTACAGGCTGCTGACACTCAGAATATTTGGTTTTTAGGGGGCTGTCAGAGACATTTATACAACTCTTTTTTTAAAAGGTGGTAGCTTGGTGTGATTTCCTGCGAGATTTGTGTGTTAACACTGTTATTTCCTCTCTAAAAAGTACATAATGTTTGTCGAGTTTGCCACTAATGCACCGTTCAGGCAGGGAATACTGTACTGGAGGTTAGAAAAGGCAGCTACACACGCGACATACAAAGTGGCAAACAAAAGTGTCATAATCTGTTTTAGGCACAATAAAGACATTTAATAAATGTTTTTTAACTCACTATAATGTAGTTGTATGCATGTTTACATACTGCACAACCCAAACTACAACCTTAATCGTGATCCTCAACCTGAATATCTCACAGTCTGACCAAAAACCAAACATTTTAAGCTTCAACAAATTTGTATTTACTGCAGGGCTTCAGTATTGTAAAAGGTAGTTCTCGTATGTAGTCCGCCCCCCTGAGAGCTTACAGTGCACACAGGAATGACAATAATACAGCAACAGAGCATAACATTGGACCAGAAATACCACAGGTGCATGGCAGTAGTGTTAAAATGTGTTTAAGGTGAATTTTCCATTTAAATCGGGTGTTGGGCTGAACCACAAAGGCACACTCTGAGGAGGAGGGGGGTTGAGAGGGAGGTGGAAGAGATCTACCAAACTGTAAATATATTGTTATTTATGCATGTTCTACGTTATGTCCTGTCCAGTTGGGAAAATGCATTAAAAATAAACGGATTCTTACACTCTGTGTGTGTCGTGGTTGTAAAAACTGTGCACGAGTCAGAACATAAATAAATGTGGCGTCTACGAACTGATGCTACTGTGTCGCTCTACATGCTGCCGTTGGCCGGCGAGGTGAGTTCCGCTATCTTGGTGTTAAGTTTCTGATTGGTCCAGTCCTTTGTAATGTCGTCCAAGTGGCTGTCAAAATCCACCAATAGCGTGTGATCGCCGGACTCCAGCAGCTGAGTGGCTATGGCCCGAGTCTCCTCCCACTCTCTCAGCATTATCCTGTAGAAAACAACAAGGGCAAGGTCAGCGAGGACTCACTGAGTGGCTGGAAGTCTTCCTATTACTTCGATTTTAACAAACAAAGCTACAAGAGACAAAGAACTAATGAAGGTTGTGGATGAATATGTGGTGGATGAAGTGTTTGACGGACAGATTCTTGGGAAAATAACAGTCACAGGCTTAAAAGAAAAGACTCAAGTTGCTAAAAGATTGTTTTTTATTAGTTTGAGGGAAGTGTGTGTTTCATCTAGCCTGTAAATGTGATTAATTCAAAGGCAAAGGCTGCAGGAAAAAAAGCTGCTAGTTTGAAGCCTTAGCTGCACTAGTATCTCTACTTTAAAGCGTTTCATTACGGCACTATCGTACTGTTTGTAATGAATGAATGTGTCTCCTCACATGTACCCTGTGCTGTTCATAATTAATTTGACAAACTGAAAACACACACGCAAAAACAGGCGGATGGAAATATATCTTAAAACTAACAAGAGCTTCACTCCACGTAAACCACGTGCGACACAAGTGCAAACCGCCACTGGTGCAGTGTGATAGTACATTTAATTCTGAATCACCAATGATGATGAGAGAGACTTTTCACCGCGATTAACATCAGAGCTCGACAGAAAACATGAGTCAGTGTTGGGTTAGGTGTGTCATGTCTAATCAAAATAAGTCAATAACACGCTTTTACTCTTTTGTACGCCTACGTGTGGGAAAGACTCAGCTATCAGACGCAGTTACACTTAATCGTGAGCTGATATGAAGAGAGCATGAAACTGGGAAACCCCTACTGTTTGCTACTGAGCTGAAGGACTTTCTCCAAGGCTGGCTGCTACTCTGAACAACCTCTACACCTCCGACCCTTCAGACTGTACAGCGTGACGGTTAGGGAGAAACCGGCACCTAAAGTCGGAAGTTTGTTTACAGCCGGAGAGGCTCGAACGCGCCACCGGCTGTGCCTTACGTGTGTTTGTCTTTGAGCATCCATCTCGAGTCTTTGCGCTCGTACATCACGATGGGAGGAACCCGATAGTCTGGAGACATCTTACTGCCGTCGAGCTGTGGCGCAAAACAGAGAAACATCAATAAAAATTGGTTAAAAATATCAAAAGGGACAAAAAATCCAAACAAGAACTGCTTAATAACTAAAAATATGTTCACTTTCAAGTGATTTTAAAGCAGATTGATCCCCGTATGTTCCATAAAAGCCAACAGGTGTCGAGTTATTCTCACCATTAACAGAACTGCGTTGTCAAACTGCTCCGAAATCTTATCAGCTATCTTCAGCGCACACGGCGTCGGGCTGTGGAGTTCAAAGTTAGAAAAGTTCACACTAAAATTAGCACTAAAATGTGTGTTATATACACACACAACGTAAGATAACAGGTAACATCTCATTAAAGGTGAAGTGCAGCTGAAATGAAACCAGGGTTTTGGAGGAAACTCACCTGCTATCCGACACACAGGCATTGGCTTGATAGTATCCCACAATCCTCTGCTGAGTCTGTGAACACCACACGTCCACCTGAAAACAGGAGAAGTTTACATCAAACTGGAAATCTCCTCCAGGTCTGTGTTGTGCTCGTCAACCCTCTCAGCCCTCGTGTCTCAGTGGTTTGTCTTACTTCTCCACCGACTGCTCCTGATATCAGTTTCATAATGGCCTGTTTTATGTAAATCCAGCTGTAAACTGCCTTAATGTGTGCAGAA